GGAATTTGGCAGCTGTTTAACTGAAGATACTGGTTTAGAATGGAGAATATCAGAATTACCACATTAAGTAGATGCTGAAGGGGTCATTATTTTTTTGGCAGAAATGTACAAGCTGGAATTTAGCCAGGGCAATGAGGTTAACACAATTGCTTTTTCCAGAGTTCATATGATTAAAAATTTGAAATAGCGGAGTTGCTTGTAGTTCTATGGGGGAGCACTTGCTCTGTGCTGAGACAGAAAAGCCTTGCTTGGTGACTCAGTAGTGCCATTTCTTTCAACATCAAAGGCATCTCTACCCCTTCTGCCTAAAGACTGACCTGGCATGGTTTAGTTTACCTTACATAAGCTAGTATGTTGATGCATAGGATAGTAAAACCACAAGAAGAAAATATTGATTTGGGTACGCTTTCCTAATGATTAAATACTCTTATAGACTTTGAGGCTTTTGAAAATATTTTAACTGGTAGAAAGTAAGAATCTTAATATGCCTCAGATTTGCCCAAGTCTGATTGGACTTATTTTTATTGCATTTAGTTAATTGTTCAATGTTATTATATTCCTTATTTTATTATAACCTTTAAAGTGGATGATATATACATAAAATGCTAGTATTCATTTCCAGTAATATCTTTCTCAGAGTTTCTTGAAAAAGCAATTATTATATTTAAGAGGAAACCATGGCTGAAATCCTGATTGAATTAACATGTGAAAACTGTAATGGAGAATGTTTACCCTGTAGGATGCTTGCAAAATTTTTCTTTGCTGCTACATTACATTTGAATAGATAAATAAATTATACTTACTATGAATTGAAGGGGAACATTGACTATATAATACATCTGATAGTCTAGTAATGGTGAGAGAATAATGCTTCTGGTAATGGTGTAATGCTTCAGGAAAATTCTTACAAGCTATTCTCTCTCAGGAGTTATCAGTCTGAAACACAGAGCGTGGATTGGACCTGTTTTATTCCAGCCATACACATGAATGTTTTTTATCAGAAGGAGGAGCCAAGTGGACCAAGGGATATCTTATTAACTTCTTGTAGGACAATTAGCTCCACTATGCCCTTGGCAACTCAAAGATTTTTGCTCTTTTGCCTTGCTCTTTTTTTTTTGTGTGTGTGTGTGTGTGTAGGGATGCTTAGTGAATAGAAAGACGGCATTTGATTTTGTGAAATTCAGGACTGGAATTTTTTCCCAGGACATGTACAAATGGTTGAATAGCATGATAAAGGGAAAGGTATTCCTCCGTTCCCTCTGTTGCCACCCAGGCAGAGCTTGTTTTGCAGACAGCAGTAGCTGCTTTTGTTAGGAAGCTCCGCTCTGTAGATGGCTTACATGGTAGAAGCTAAACTCCTTGATTCTCACAGAAAATCCTTTCAGAGCAGGTTTGATAAAAGTGATGGGAAGCCTTGACTGAGGCCAACAGTCTGGCGTAACTGCACAAGGAAGCACTAGAGAATTACAAAGCAGGCGATGGTCCATACATAGTTGGAAGTACAATTAAATTTACTGTAAATATCATGAGATAGGTAGGGTAAGTGAACATGCTACATAGAGAGCAGTACATATGCAGCTTTGCAGATATGCTTTCCATTGTGACTTGTATCATAGCTGATCTCAGAACTTTGTGTTTTGATTAGTACTTCATTTGTGCTCTTTATCTCAGTAATTTTCACTTGTGTTTCCTCCTTTGCCTGCCCTATATGTTGGGCAGTGATAGAAAGACAGGAAGATCCCCAGAGACAATCACACCAAAGTGCAGCACAATGAGTTTGATTTCTGAAGTACATGTCAAGCTCACCAGGCCTTGACGCTCCTTGTGCTGGAGGGAATTGCTGATGGACTGTCAGGAGGGCCTGTCCTGCCCTGCTGCCATGGCAGATTTTGGTCTGCCATTGGAGCTTCCAGAACAGTTGTTTTCCAGCCACAGCACTCGGACAGCATGTTGTCCCAGCACTACAGATACCCTCACTGTTGTGCGTGGTGGGCAGCAGGTGGCTCTGCACTGGTGGTTGGCCTCACTCACTTGAGAGCCAGAGGCTTCCTTAAAATCAGATGGGATCTGCATAGTGTTAACATGGGAAATTTATTGCTCCCCGAGGATTCATAAGCAGCACTGACAAATTTACTTCATGCTGCATTTTTGAGATGGTCGTAATGTGAGATGAGGGAGGTTTGGAAGGTTTAAAGGAACATACCTATTAAATTTTCTCTCTCTATATAAGTATACGTACATACATACATACATACATACGTATATATACAGAACAATTCAATTAGTCACCTGTTGTGATTTATTTTATTAAGCACTTTCCAAAAAACCAAGGCCTCTTTCTCCTATGAGAAGAACTGGGTAAGAGAAATGCGACAAATAATGATTTGTTCCTTGTCAAGGAACAAATTTGTTCCTGCTTCCTTTGTTTGTTCCTGATTTGTTTCCCTTCATCAGAAGGTTTAAAACTTTAAAAAAAAAGGGAAAAAAAGTTGCATATATATCCAACCACTGAAGCACACTGTAATTCTCTAGAAAGATCCTGAAAGCAGTGTGTTTAGTCTTTGCAACAGAAATTGCTTAAATACCATACTGACATAACAGAAAATTTACATTTTTTTAGTTAATGTTCTGTTTTGTTTGAAGTGAATAAACAGTAAATCCTGTGTAACAGGACAGCAAAGCACTATATGCTATAAAATATGTACTCAGACAGATCCTAAGCAAACAAATCTGCTTTGTTTTTCTTTTCTTTTCTTTATTACCAGTTCCTATCTTTACAAATCCTTGTGCTTGGAAATGATTTGTGTTGTGTCTGTTATTTCATAGTTTACTTCTTAACATCACTGAAATCCAAAGAGGAAGGAGCAAGAAATGCATTGTCAAACAAATTCTGAAAGAAGATGAAGAATAAATTGAAACAATTAAGCCTCTTAAATGAGGTTTTGGTACTGAATATTTTTTAAAGCCATAATCTTTTCATCAAATCATATTGGACAAATCTTTTATGTATAAATTGGTTTAAGACTTTGTGAACATTTCAAGAGTTGTTGTGTAACTGTGATTTTTCAGTTTCCAAAAGGGATTATTTCTTGAAGCATAGAAAATAAGATATTATGAATAGTCAGTAGACACTTAAAAAAAAATGTGTATTCATACATATATATATATAAAATCAAATAGGTTTGTTGATCTTAAATTTTGAAAATAACAACAACATTTGTTTAATTACTCAGATTTTAGGGTAACCTTCAAGAATAGACTCAGTGGTGAAAAAAAAGCTGCTAAATATTCTTTTTAGTTCAGATGTTTTAGATGTACGAGGATACTCATATTTCTCAAAAATCCCTGAGGAACAAAAGAGTTCTGTTGCCTTCTGAATTTGATCTCGATGGAGACAAGCAGATCAGGTATATGAAATTTCCCACCTTTTTGATGCGTAAAACAGAGAACTTGAAATTAATTGTTAGGAATCAGAATAGTAAACTTCCAGGTATAAAGAGGTGTAGAGAGCATCAAACAGAAGTACATGACAGCAGCTGTTTCCACTGTTTTCAGTATAAATCACCTGAGGGACACGTCCCCTGGGTTTTATGAAATAAGTTGACCCCTTTCTTCAGTATTCACACACCAGAGGATCACATAAATGAGCACATGCTCCTTCAGAGAGAAAGTAGTGCAAAAGGTTAATCATGGAGAGAGAAGGAAGAGAGCTTTCAGTGTCCATCTTTCACAAAACATTTAATGAAACATCTCAGTTTAATGCCAAAGTGTGTTCTCAAGTAAACTGTTGTATTTGCGAAAAAAAAAACAAAACTAGTGCAGATTCACTACAAGAAGATGTACAGGAAGTATGTATTTGCACAATGTGTTTGTTTCTTCTTGTTTGGCAATTACTGCTGACATAAAGATGCAGCTTTTCTTCTGAATAAACTTGACTGGAATTTCTAAAAAGCCCTTATTTCTGAGGTGCTAGATAGATATCTAAGGAAAAGGCTGCTCAGGGTTTGCTCTGGCTACTGAAAGGCGGCAGCTGAAGTCTGTCTTTAAGGGGTCTTCTTGCAAATCCTGATGGATAGAATACCTACTAGGAATCTGTGCCTTAAAGGTGCGAACACCATTAGGGAGTCATGAGGGACTTAGAACACCTCAGTGACATGGCGCTTTTGACATGGTGATTTAAGTGATGGAATTATCTTTGGAAATATTTTCTTACGCCGACTTCTACTGAAAAATTTACGGTACTCACTGTGACCCTTTTTATATGATAGAGCCCTTTGTTGTGGGCACTGGTATTTTGGGGGTAATAAATTGTGAAAACAAACAAACAAACAAACAAACAAACAACAAAACCAAGAATTTATTTTTTATTTTTATTATTATTATTTTTTGGGGGGGATGGTAGAAATTTTATAGCCCAAGTTCTGTGTTCTAATTGTGACTCACACACCTCACAGGCACATCTTGGGATTGGAATGATGTAAGTTGCTGATTTGAAAAAGAGTGGGAAATTGCACAGGAAACTTAAGCACTGAGCTTTATTTTGTTTTCTTGAAATGAGAAAACTTGTGCACTAAATAGCTATGTGTATTACAATAGCACTTAAATAACATACAGTGTCATTCAGTCTCACATATGTAGTTTAGTGATGTCTGGTCCATATATTTGCCTCTAGAATTTTGGGGAATTTTCATAAATTAGCAGGCTAATTTGTGTAAATCAGCTGTAACACTGCTTGCAATTGAGAGCAACACAGAATTTTAATTCAAATAAATCATACTTCTGCAAACAGAACTGTAAAGTTGAATCTCAAGCAATATTCACAATTTGGCTTCTCTTCTTATCTTAAGTAGTGGTATTCATTTCAAATATCGGTTTTATCCTGATTCAAATTCTCTGTGTTCTGATTTTTGCAAAATGTCTAATTTGTGTTTCTTTTTCTTTTTCTTTTTTTTTTTTTTTTCCTGTCTGTCTTTCCTTGTCTCTTTTCCCCTTTTCAACAGTCCTGGTACCTGGGCTAGCTTGGTTCCTTTTCAAGTATCAAACAGGACACCGATCCTGCCGACAAATGTCCCAAATTATGGTTTGAACATAATTGGAGAGCCTTTCCTTCAAGCAGAAACCAGCAACTGAGGGAAAAAATAAAAAGAAAAATTAGGAAAAAGAAAAAAAAGGAAGGAAGATGGGATGAGAGAAGAAACTGAAGAACGAAGAAAAAATAGACCAGCAATTGCAGCACTTACAATCACTAATTTCCTTATGGTCGAAACTGAAATGACATACAAAGGGTCGATGATATTTCACTGATGGGTAGAACGCAGCTCCTGCTAAGTAGCCTTTGTTATATGAAGTCCGCTGGGAAATAGATGTTCTGTCTCTGACAATATATTTTAACTGACTTCTAGATGCCTTAATATTTGCATGATAAGCTAGTTTTATTGGTTTAGTATTCTTGTTGTTTACGCATGGGATCACTATTCCTGGTTATCTCACAAAACAAAGGCTAGGCAGCAGCAGCAGATTTGCAGGAGGACAAGGGCTGTAAGCCAGCCGTTTTCTCAACACTCTGACTTCTAAATGTTAAAAAAAAAAAAAAAAAAAAAAAAAAAAAGCTCTGTAGCCTTTAGTTATCAGTATGGATTTATTAAACTTTGGCCCTTGACTCAGCCTTTTCTAGTGTGTTACCCAGCTTGAAATTTTCACTCAGAATGAACACACATGCTCTATGTAAGAAATGCCTCTATGTAGGTGAAGTGTTATCTTTTCATGCAACAGTAAAAAGAAAAAGAAAAAGAAAAAAAAAAAAAAAACAACAACCCAGAAACTTTTTACCCACTAAAGAAACACTTAGAGAGGCAAGTGCAATTTAAAAGTTGTATCAAAGGGGTCATCATTATAAGTCCTTCAGCCCTTGGACTCTAAATTGAGGGGATTAAAAAAGGAATTAAAATTTACTTTGAACAAATTTATTTTTCCCCTCAGTTTTTGAGGGCATTAAAAGGCATTACATCGAGACAAATCATGTCCTTGAGAAAAATAAATCAATGAAAACACAGCACTTATGTTGGTTTAGCTGCTGCCTCCACAAAGGGGTAGAATTTATTTATTTAAAGTTACTGGTTGCATCAAAAACCCATAGGGTTTATATTTTTCTGTATAATCTGCATCATAGAGACAAAGAGATAGGCAAATCCATGCCAAAAGGGCAAAGCTTACTGTTTACAAACTGGTAATACCAGGATGGGGATAAGATTTATTTAAATAATGCACTCTCTAAGTCTAATTACAGGGTGCTGAAAACTTGCATGGTGCTTTCAGAAGTTAGCCTTGTTCAACAGATTTCACATATTGACAGAAATATAATGTGCATGGGCAGACATTTTGCCTCTATGTCTCTCAAAAAATAGTTAAAGTACTCTTTCCAGTAATCCTGATTTGCACGAAAATATAATGTCCACATTACGTGCCTTGCCTTGAAATCTAAAAAATGAAAAAAAAAAAAACAAAAAAATTCAAAAAATCCACAAAAACAAAAAAAAAAATTTGACATCACTACACTTGTTTTGCTGCATTTATTATCATTTAAATCTTTACCATTTTTATGACAAAATATTTTGTACTCCAGATGGGAAAAAAGTGTGACATCATGGATTTTTTAGACAGTTATATCTTTATCTCACATTTATAAAGCATATCATGGCTGTGTATAATTGCCGCTTAAAAATTGTAATCGACCAGCAATATTTTCAGTATTTTGGTGTTTTTTCTATTAACCTTTCATGTTTTTCATCTTCCAATTAATATTGGGGGGGAGGGGATTCAAATTTATACGAATTATGCAATACCAAGTTTTGCCTAAGTAGGTAGTGCTTTTAGCTGTATTGGTTATTATAGGTAAGTACACAGATTTAAAAGAAAAAAAAAAAAAAAAATAATGTTTGTTTTTTTTTTTTTTTTTTTTTTTTTTTTTTTTTAATTGACCAAAGTGGGTACTGCTATTTTTGCAGTGTGATGAGGTCCTTTTATGTACTGAGAGATGGACGGGGATTTTTTTTTTATACATATATATATATTCTGGGGTGGGTGGGGATGATTTTTAACACTTTACAGTGTAGCTGTGAAGCAGTGCACCCTTAGCCAGGCAAGGGCTGCAAAGCGACTGTTCTGCCTACTGTGACAAACTTTCAAATCGGTTCCCTCTTTTAACTTCCCACCTGGGGTGCAAGCTGAAATCATTTATGGATTTAAAAAATAAATAATGAATTCTGTTGGAGGCAGACTTGACTTGAGGAAATTGTTTTACTTCGAATTTCTTTAGAGAGAGAGAGAAAAAAAGGGAGAAAGAGTGATAGAAATAGAGGGGAGAGAGGCAGCCAGAGGGAGAAGGAGTTCAAGACCCACAGCAAGATGAAGCCTTCCCACTCTGGTGAATACACTACATATGAAAATGTTTGTGTTAGAAATTTTTTTAACTTAGAAAGATGATTGCTTTGTCTAGGAAATGCACATAGAGGGCCAAAATCTTTGCTGGCATAACTCCACTGGCTTCAGTTGACTTCAGAGCTGTTCCTGCAGAGAATTTGCCTTCTTTAGTCTGCATGGCTGGTAAATATTTCTTTTCCCCTATAACAAAACTATTTTTTGAAGTTTGTCAACTCACAGCATCTGAGATCTGATCTTCATCCTGCTCAGACCACGTCAGAGGTTTGCAAAGTCTTCTCATAAAGCAGGTCAGATGGAGAGCTCTGCGCTGTAGCAGGAAAGGAGCTTCAGAATGGGTGGAATTAGACTGTGGTGTAAACAAAAGTGCATTTACAGTAAAATCAGACCTTACAGATTAGTAGTGAGCCTGTTGCTGGAGACTTCTTTATGCTCTGGGCTCTTATCTACAGATCAGTGTAGGGAGAACATCTTCAGGCACAAGGAAAGGATGGAAAAGTCTCAAAATGGGGTATCCTTTCAGCTCTCTGAGTTTGTCTTTTCATTTCAAAGGTTTTCCCCAACTGGAGCAGCTCCAGAGTACATGTCCAGCAACAGGTGCTGGGTGCTGACACACTAACATTGGTCCCTTCTTGCCTTGAATCATATCATAGAATCATTGAATCATAGAATCGTAGAATTACAGAATCATAGAATCATAGAATGGCCTGGGCTGAAAAGGACCTCAAAGATCATCCAGTTTCAACCCCCCTGCCACGGACAGGGTCGTCAACCACTAGACCAGGCTGCCCAGACCCACATCCAGCCTGGCCTTGGCCATCATGTGGGTGCTGTGAGGCTGTGGTGGTGGCACATCCTGTGTGTCCCTGCAGCAGGCAGAGCATGGATAGATACTGAGGCAGAAGCTGTAGAAAAGCAGATCTTTATCTGTATCTGAAGAGAAAAGGAAAGGAAAAAAGCCGGGGGGGAAAAAAGTCCAATTTACGTTTCACTTTTCCTGAGCCCCATGGTAAGTGACTTCATTTCCTAAGCATATTGCTGTTAAGACTAGCTGAAATGTGGGAGACCCACCCAGAGCATATCTCAGGCTCTGGCCTAGTGAAATAAATGATGTTATTGCCTTTTCTGCTAGGCCCTGATATCGAGTGGTCAGGGGGCACTGTCCATGCTGCGGGGAGCAGGATGTCCCCTAAACTTTTAAATGCATGCCAGGATGACACTGAAATGCATGTGATTGCCAAAAGGATGAGTATGCCTGAGGGAGGATGGATGGCTTTATGTGAGCTTTTCTGTTGTCTCTGACCTCTTGTATGAAAAAAAAATGAGCTTGCAGATGCGATATTTTTAACAGCAGAGTCCTTCCATGTGAATGAATTGGTTTGATTAAGCAACTGTGGGTTTTTTCACACGTGCCTCTCCGATAGAAAAGTCTGGTTGGAAGAAAACACACTTTTCATTTATGTTTTTGTTTTGTTTTGTTTTGTTTTGTTTTTGTTTGTTTTTTAAGCTCAGCAGTCAAAAGATTAAGATAACATTGAGAACTCAAATCCAGTCTCTGGCCTCCTCCTTCACCAGGAAGTGTATTCTGACTAAATCAAGCCACCCCGTTCTATGTGCACTGTTCTGCCTTTATTAAGTTGCTTTGCAGCCCTGGCCTCACGGCTGTGCCACTGAAGTGTGTTCCCCCTGGAGTGACATGAACGTTTGAGGCTTGACTATGGAAAAAAAAAAGGCAGTGAAGGAGACTGTACATAAAGACATGGCAAAAATATTAATTATAGCAATATAGTTGTGGGGTGATGTTCAGGTGGGCAGCTCCATTGAAAATATGTGAATGGATTTGTGAAGCTGCAAGTAGCGAGAAGAAAGGAGGATCTTCTGAATGAACCGCCTACCTTGTAGACAGTAATTTGTACACTGTATAGTTTTGTTAAGATTTTTTTTTTTTTAATTAAAATACCCTTGTTTGTAAAGCTAACTTTTTAACAATTATAATGGAAATATATATTATTTCCATTTTTAAAGTAAACAAGAATATTCCTTGTTTGGAAGCTGGACTTGGGTTAAAACTCTCCAGTTCCTTAATTTATGTGTTAAAAAAAAAAAAAAAATCTGTCCATGTTAGCAGTTATTTCACAGATTCCTGTGCTTGAAAAGCATAGGTTACTAATCCTTTAAAAATGTAAATGGAGAAAAGTTATATTTTATGAAGGTTATTTTGTTGTATTTAGTATTGGAAAAGTTGGTTTTCAGAGCATTTCAAAATGTTGGAAGCACCACTGTCTTTTTATTAGTATATATGGCCTTTAGCAAAAGTTTTTGTGATTGTTACATGATGGTATTTAAGATTAGGTTCACAGAGCAATTCAGGATAGGCAGAGAATAAAAACAGTACTTATCTCTCACATAGCTGTGTCCTCAGGGAGCAGAATTTTGGATTTGCAACTTGTAGCTTCATAAGGACTTAATGAAAGAGATTGCACAAGGACATACTCAGCTGTGACACCGGAGTGTGTTCTGTACCTAAATCTAAATTATATTTACTGTGTGAGGTTATGAAGGCTGCAGAAAGTTATCCCATATTCAGTGTACAGTATTCACTTTTAATGAAACAACTCTTTAATGTTGCTGGCAGTAAGGTCCCAAGCATGACATCCAATATAGTTTATATGATCCTGTCAAGGTCTTTTGTTAACATTAACCAGCTGCAATGCTCCTGGACTTTTTTTTTTTATTGGGTTTCTATAGAAAACTTAAAAAAGAAAAAAAAGAGAGAAAAAAAAAAGTAAAATTGTACACGAGCTAAGAAAGTTAAGCTGGAAAAGCTCAAAATTGATTCTTCAACTCCAAACTGAAGGAGCTGAAAACTGTCTCCCTCTTATTTGCACTTTCTGCTACTTCCCAATTTTTTTTTCTAATTCCTCAAAATTGTGTGGGTGTGGTGGAGCACTGCAGTTGGAGGATAACACGCACCACTGGTTTTGCCCTTTAACCCTGCACAATGACCTTTGCATCAGCCAAACTTATTGCCATGACAACTCTTTGTACTGTTTCCACGCCACAGCTCTGTTGGTCATGTTGTTAATAGCAAAGGGGACAAGTCCAAGACGGTCAATTTTTACATTTTTTTGTTGCAATTTTTTCTTCAGTGGTTGTAAGTAGGTTTTTGTTTCTTTTCTTTTCTTTCTTTCTTTTTTTTTTTTTGTTTGTTTGTTTGTTTTTAAATAATAAAAGGGTTCACTAGTTATTACTCTTTAGAAATATCTGTGTGTTGCAGTTCAAATGTATGTTGAATTTGTGAAAAGGGCTTCAGTGCCACTAGCATCATGATATCCTAGAATAAGCCTTTCATACTTTTATTGCATGATACAGTAACAGTAAAGCAGAAGGTGGCCTATATAGATGGAAAGCAGCATGAGCTAGTGACACTAAAGCCAGTCTTTGTATTACTGTATTTTTGACAGAATGGTTTTGAAACTGTGCTACAGGGACTGATGTGGCAAATGTATCTCCATATGCAGAAAGAAGTTTTTTAAGAAGTCTGGCTTATTATGCATTCTTCATTGAGGGCATTGAAGTTGCATGGACTGATAAAAGTTGATGCAAAATGAGAAAGAAACAAAAACCAGCAAAATGTTTACCAAAAAAATCTCAAACAAATGAGCAGTGCCTGTTCAATTTCACAGTCTCTGTTGAGTTCAGTTGTAAATATGTTTCAGATAACATTTTCTTCAAAAAAAAAAATAAAAATCTCTACAGCAGTGTAGAATGTGTGGGGTTCCTCAAGTCCCAGGCATAGGCTTCTCATGAGCTGCGTTAGGTTATGTCTTCATCAAGCTGTTAATTTGTGCTTATATCATATAGAACTTTTAGCAAACTGGGAAGAGGTGCCCCATCTCAATGATATTTCTCTGAGAACAACTTTTGTAGGGCTGTGTGTTTCTTTAGATACATTTAGTACAACTGTAGTGACAAGTAGTCAGTTATTGCTTGCTAGCTACACACCAGGGTTGATCCATTTTAAAACTTCTGGCATTTTTCCCCATACTGTAGGCCATAAATTCTGAAGGTTACATTTTAATTAAAAAGTAGGTGTGTGCACAATCCTTG